ACAACTCTATGCACGAAACGGTTTATTTTTCGTCCGCTAATTGTGCTTAACACCGATTCATTTAAGAGTATATTTGGAAACAATAGCACCGAGAAGAAAAAAATTAATGGAAGTATAAATTTATTTCAATAATTTGAGAGATTGCGCATGGCATGATATTGACAAGTTTATATATTTTTTCAAAACTGTAAAGTATAGCTTCATCCATGAACTGTAGTATTATATTTTCTAATCACGGGGAAAATGTAAAAAATGCATAGATAATTTGCTTACCATTCTATGGCAAATAATAATTATATATTTATATAGCTTGTACAATCGTACAATACCTATTCACTATAGTACAAAGTTTGAAATTTGAATACTGACAGGGTACGTGGCAATCGCGAATTGGTTTAACGTAATTATGGAGTAAATGAAAAAGTGCATAATTATTTACTAACCATTCTATACAGGAGCTGACAGGTGCCCTAACCATTCTACACTGTTCTTTTATTTTCAGCACAGATGAAAAAAATAAACAAAACAAATAAAACTAGGAATGAAGAAGACCTTCCCACATGTGAGAGGGAGGTTTTCGGAAAATTCCAAAAGCGAAAATGTATAGCCATTTATTTAGTGTTGAAGCAAGTCTAAACTAGGAATGAAGACAGACCTTTGAGATTCCAATAAAACAAAAGGCTAATATAAAAAAGTATGCAAGGCATTCAATGCAGGGGTGAAAACCAGAGCATTTTTTTTTTCGCAAATAAAACCAGAGCATTTAATGCAAAGGTAAAACGCTTTCTGTCCATTGGCTACGTATCAGAATATATATATATATATATATATATATATATATATATAATTAATTGTGTTTTTAGTTGGGTATATTTTTATTTTTTCGCGTTTTATGTACAAGTTCATAGTCATGTGTAGCTTGTCATATTAATATTTTACAATTTTTACTTAAACATATTCCAGTACAGTATACGGATGCTTAGTTAAAAAATTTATAATTACTTTTATTTAATAAAGAGAAATTTCTATTATAAATCTATTATAAATTTAAATTACTTTTTAAAATAATTAATTATTTCTTACTTTATGCATATTTATATAAAAGTAAATAAAAGAGTCTTATAATATAATAATTTCCTAGCCTATATCATCTAATGTCTTTTATACATGAATTTGTTAATTGATAAATAATTTTATTACATTATAATTAATATTAATAGATAGTTTAGTTATTAGGTATACAAAGATAATATAGTTATTTATTTAATGTATGTAATATGAACGTCAAATCGAAATTCAGTCACAAAATATTTATTCTGATGCATTATATATAACAAAGTAGTAACATTTACAAAAATTATTACCTTTTAAAATATATTTATAATTTAGGTTGTCAAATATTTTATAATTTTAAAAATTTGAATGGTAAACCCACACCTACATTAACAACTACTCCCAAGCACATATAAAATTAAAAAGAACTCGACATATATGATTAGAAGGCACCACAAGTTGACATATATTTATGATACCCTGCTTTTATAAATAGAAAGAGATACAATAAATATGAAATAATAAATATCTTAAATATTTTATGACCCCTTGCCTATATAATATATATGTATATATTGGACGTATTATATCAATTGAGAAATGGTAATGAATGCCTCTAATAATTTCTATTTTAATAGTATTTATTTATACTAATCCTTCTGCATGTTTATGAGAATATTAACAATAATTAAGAAGATACAATGGTTAGCATTGGAAGAGAAATATTTTAAGGATCGTCGTAGTTGCAACTGACATAGACCATTATATTTTGAGGACAACGATGATCAAGTCCCATTTTAATACTAACTTAAAATTTTTTATTCAAAAAGAAAAAGTATATTTACTAATTTCTAATTAAATATTAATTAATTGATTATTAGTATGTTTTGAATAATATTATATAATAATAGTATTCCAAATTTAATATCACAAATACAATGGACACATTTTCTGAATTTAGTATCACAGATAAACAATAAAACAACTCCCTATCTATTATATTATTATTATATTCCCTATCTATAACTGCCTCCCTACTGCTCCCTAATCTAACAGACTACCTCATCTCTCTCACACGGACTACACACCCTCTCTCTCTAGACGCAAACGACCCAACAGAACAACCCACAGCCGTCGCAAATGCCCAGTCCCATTTGGTCATAGATAAACAATAAAACTTACATTGAAATAGAAACCCATCTAGTCAAACTGAAATAGAAACTCATCAAGAGACACCCATCAAGTCGAAAACTATTAATAGCAAGAAATGATAAAAATCATGAGTACCACCTAAAACAACTTAGCGGCAGATCAACTCCTACATGATATCAACTCTATAAAAACTATAAAGCGTTTATATCTTTATATGTATTGGTATCTAACATATTTTATAATAGTAACTTGTGGAACATATGTTATTGAAAACAAGAAATTATAAAGCTTAGTGGTGGCTTTTTTTTATTCACCTCATCAAGATGATGTACACTATATTTATAGGCTTCATATGTCGGTTAAGGCTATTCTAGAGATTTTTACCATCTTTTGACTAACATCATTATGTAGATAATTCTAGAAATAATTAAAGTGTAAGCAAAGTATAGTAAATTGCTAGAATACTCCGGAATGTACATAAAAATTTTCTCAACATGTTTTGTGTTTAATATTTGCATCCAGTTAACCAACTCATAGAGCAAAGATTTTGTGTAATGAATGCTCCGAAAATGTGCATAGTTCACAATTCTACCAAAAAATGGCTTGATTAAATTGTTAGTTCTCGTGTAATTTCAACTTGATACAAAACTTACAGTAGAAATAATTATGGCCGGAACTCAGAATAATGGCATGATTAGTATAATGAAATAAAATTTGATAAGAATGAAATAAGTTGAATAATGAAAATAATTATGAGAAATGAATAAAACAAGATTTTCCATTGAAGTATTTGGTATAAAGAATAAATTATATAACTGAAAATGACATTACCAACCTATATTATCATTTATCACTATTTGATAAGTCAAATTATAATAACTATATTAATGTTATTGATTTTCTTATTTATGATAATACTAAAAATATATTTTTTAAAAACAAATATACTCTATTTTAATAAATATATTTTTTATATTATTATACTCATCTTATATAATAAGTAAGTGACTTATGTATTTATATACATATTAACTAATACAAATATATCATAACATAAAACTTTATAAGATTTTGGTCGGATATTATTTTTTATATCGGTGACATCTTTTATATCCCATGATAGGGTAAACGGTCCCAACCAGCCTCGAACAACCTGGACTCGCACTCGACCGGTTCAAAGACCTGAAAAACAACGTCAAGGAATGTCCCAACGTAGAGATTTCGATGCTAAAGCCAGTGAACAGTGAGAAAGAGGATAAACAGTAAAAACTATATATAGCTTATAAGTATATTAGTGTGTGGAGAATGTGAGTGATATATCATGCCTCACCTTTTTATATATGAGTGGTACCTTATTTCCCAAGACTGTCAGGTTGGGCTGCGCGAGTGCCCGAACAACCAGCTTGTACTGCCCAGGTGCCCGAACTGCCCAATTCTTTTAGGCTACGTGGTCCTATCCACGTGTTCTTATATTAATAATATTCCTTTTTATCTATTATGTGTAATGTGTTTACATTATGCCACTTCATTAGGTGTTCTAATTGTGCGAGCAGCTCGGCTTCCTTTGAACCGGACTGCTCCGACCTTCAGTGTGCAAGCTTTGTCTCTTAGATCGCGCCATTGACCTGCCTAGCTCAATATCGAGTTTCTATCAGACTAACCGAGAGCCCTAACCCGGCCTGTTGAGGAGTTTTTTTACCAGTGAAGTCACCACCGATATGGTGACTCTTCCACTTCCAGTGTCCTCGAAATAAAAAATACAAGAGACCAAAATGACAATAAAACATATAAGTGAAAACGACCAAAATTTAAAATAAACTACATATAAATGAAAACGGTCAAAATTTAAAATAAATTAAAACGAACACAAATAAAACACTACACACATAAAATAACAACAAAAATGTTGAGCCCGAGTTATAGTGGTCACGACTCGTTTGAGGGTTTGACAAAAGAGGGTTCAGCCTAGTCGTATTCCGCCCATCCTCATCTCTCAGGCCATCATATTTGAATTCTGTGAAGGGTGTCTTTGTTCTAATTTATTTCTTATTTATTCTTCAGCATTTTTAAATTATATATGCTATTCAATTGATGAATTAAAATTACCTAGCAACCGGGTGCTGGAGTCGAACCATGATTGAGCACACAATATTGCACGACAAACTAAGAGAACTCAACCGAGTCGAATTGAGATCACACATGTACTACACAATGAATGACACATAAATAAATAAGAGAACTTAACCAAGTCAAACCAAGATTGCACACGCAATGGCACGCTCACATAAGAGAACTTAACCAAGTCAGAACCTAAGATTGCACTCGCAATGGCACACTCAATGTAAAAGAACTTAACCAAGTCCAAACCAAGATTGTACACACAATGGCACACCCAAAACAAGAGAACTTAGTCAAACCAAGATTGCACAAAAAATGGCACACTCAAAATTGGAGAACTCAACTTGAGTCGAACCAAAGATCACACAAACAATAGCACGATAAAATGAGAAACTCAACCAAGTTGAACCAAGGTTGCACAAACAATGGCACACTCAAAATAGGAGAACTTAACCGAGTCGAACCAAGATCACACACAATAGCACGATAAAATAAGAGAACTGGTCGCACACACAATGGCACGTGCCATGGGACAAAATAAAATTAAATAAATAAATGTTACAAAGAGAGGGGAAAAAAAACATAAAATCTACATGAAAGCTCAATCATTTAATCTCGTACGTTGTAATGATCAGTAACCGGACACAATCTGGACCCTAATTCAATGGGCAACACTCTCAATATAGCTCTCTGTGATAAGTAACCGGACACAATCTGGACCCTCCAACCATAATCCAATGGCCAACAGTAGTGTCATTCTCGACTCTAACGTTCTCGCACGGGGCCTTGAACACATAGTCGTCGTAGAAACCCTCGAACATGACCCGGCAGTCGAGCGCCCTCGACTCGGCTTGACCGCACGTCAGCATCGTGGCCAAGGTCACGTTCTCGAGGATGCGGTCGTTTTCACCCATGTACATGGTGGGCCCAAAGCCTTCCCCCGCGGGCGAAGGCATGCACTGGGGCCACACGTTGAATTGCTCGATATCTATGCCGCGGCGCTTCCCCACAACAAACGCTAGCTGGAATGCGGCCGTGGTCTTGCAATCGCCGTCCACGCTCGATTTGCATATTTTTTCGTCCTTTATGAGGGAGAGCGACTCGATTACGAAAGTCGGGAAGTGGGGCTTCATGACTAACATTGTAATCGCTCCTAGTATCAAACCCAATAGAGCGATGATTAACACCAGCCCTGACAAACGCTCGTCGTTACAGGACGAGGCTTTGGTGGCTTGGGTGGGTAGTGTTTCCATTGAGTGCAAAAACAAGTGTGTGTGTCAGTGTGTGTAGATGGTTGAGATAAATAATAATATGTATAGAGATAGAGACACTGTCTGCTATAAGTTAATATATAGTGACCTATGATAGTTGAGTCTGCTGGGTATACATGAACTCAAAATCTGATTTGTATCTGGTAACTGATGGAGATAAATATGGGTTTAATAGTCAACTCAAAGAGATTGGATTTGGTAACTGATTGAGATAAATATGGTTGTCATAATTATCTATATACATACATTGTGTTGGGAATCAATCTACAGTGAGTATAAATGATGCAAAATTTTCGAAACATAGGTCTCAACTTTTCAAAAATTCTATGGAGCCATCGGAGTGCTCCCGAGCCATCCATAACTTTATATATTGACACGTGTTCAATGTGCATTTATTGCAGGACACGTGTCAATACACAATTTGTAGATAATTATGGATGACTCTATAAGCCGAGTCATCCGATGACTCTATAGAAAAATCGTTCTAACTTTTGTAATTCGTAACTATAAATTGTAGGCTATAATTTATTGATATTTTTACATTCTTTTTTTTTATTTTTTTTTTTANTATTACAAAAAAAAAAAAGGAATGCATTTTAAAATTGTTAATATGTTATTAAATTCTTGTCCCTTGCGTCCATACTATATTGCACATTACGCACACAATCAATTCATTTTATACAACCTTTTTCATAGGAAATCGAGCGGTTAATATCAGAATTTTTTAACGGCCTACAAAAATTTTATGTTAAAATAATAAGCCACACTCACGAAACGCAATGCTAGTAGCTTGATTACGCTCGACTCATTTGAGTTTAATTTGACTTGTTTGACAACTAAGTCTAGTTATTTGAACTCATCTACATCACCAGCTGAACTTAGATTGGTTCATTAAAATTGGTAATGCTACAAAATAAGGTATTTTTATATATCAGCTCGTTGAGCATCAAATACAACTTGTTAATATTAATAAATGAACTATTTACCTCAAAGATCTCATCATCTTAAATCCGAAATTAATACAACAAAGTAGCATGTAAATCATACCAGAAATGATAAAATAACATAAGATGATGAATAAATATGATTAATCTGGACCAACGAACCCACGACTTGCTTTCACCTAAAAAACCTAATCACAAAATAATTTTGAAATTGATGACAACTAAACTAGCTAGCTAAGATCATCTTGAGCCATTATCTCTACACTGGTGTACGACTTACTCTACGATCTAGAATAGAGTTAAGCAATGGTCAAATTGTTCTTCAATTGTTCGCACCGCATTTTATGAATATTTACAATTTACTCATTATTTAAATTAATTTTAATATTACAAATATAATTTAATGAGATATATTATGTTACAAATATTTAGTTATATAAATTATCAATAAATAATTGAAAAAATACAGTTAAATGCAACATTATTTATGTCAAGAATATTCTATTTAGTAGAAGATTAATCATTTATTTTCTACCACATCAAGTTATATAGAGAATTCTCACGGTTTAATCTAAATCGTAAACTACTTTTAACCATATACATATATATCAAGGTTATTCTATTACTAACTATATATATATAGATTTCAAGAATATTATTCGATTACACAAAAAAAATATGGTAAGTAGAGAACTCATAAATAAATGGTTAAAGAAATCATAAGCATAAGTAGAAAAATATGGTAAATAGAGAACAAGAACTTGTTAAAGCAAATATATTCTTCGCGTTCATTTGGGAAACTAGAAAAACCAAAAACAAAAAGAACAGGACGTCAAAACCAAAAAAAAAAGAAGAGCACGTCTGGCCACTATAAATTAGAGAACTGTTTTGGATTTTAGAGAATTGTTGGCACTATAAATTAGAGAACTGTTTTAGATTTTAGCTCCGCGTTTATTTGGGAAAACTAAGGAAAGAAAAAGATCACCAGGACTATTTTTATTTTTTAAAATAATGTATATATATATATATGAATACACATTTATAAATATTTATTAGCAAATATAATATTATTAACATTTTGGTATATAAAATTATATATATAATATTTGTTTGTTACTTTTATGTATATCTATATAATAAAAATACTATATGTAATTTTAAAATTTTTAAAATTAATTATTCAGAATTTTAATAGTTGTAATTTGATTTTTTTTCATTCTAAAAAGTATAAAGAATATAAAATCTTAATAAATGTTTTGCAAGATTTGTGAAACTTGATTACACAAACTCACCCATATAAATTTAATTTTATATTTATGGAATGTCTATAATTAATTACTCCATCTATACTTATATTAAAAGGTATATCATTTACCAGATTTAGTATAAAGAAAAGTCAACAACATTTATTGCATTACTATTTCCGTATAATACAATCTATACTTATATAAAAGGAGATCCTATTTACTATATTTACTATCCAGAAAAGTCAACTGCATTAAATGCCATTACTATTTTGGTATTATAATATTTTATTTATTTAATTAATTTATTTATTTATTTTATTTTAAAAAAGTAAGTATAATAAAAAAAATTAATAATAAAAAAATCAAATACCAAATAAAAATGTACACTTTGACTTATTTGATTATATTTGGTATTTGATTATACCAAATATATTCCTATTTAGTATATACATTAAATACTTACTAAAGTACTTATTTGTTTTATTTGTCAAAGTTAAGTATAGATTTGTTTATATTATCAAATCATAAAAAAAATATTAAATCCATATTGTAAAAAAAAAAAAATCATATAATTTTATAACAATTCTACTACACTATTTAACAATATTTTTTTATTATATAATAAAATAATAATTAAATATTATATGGTGAACAACAATAAGTAAAACTGTTACTTTCTCTTATATCAAGGGATAAATTGATATGCTAAAATTATATTTTTATTAGTATAAATATTTTAGTGAGATAATATATTAATTATTTTACAAGCTAACCCTAACATGCTCATATTTAATGTTTTAAAAGATGTAGAAAAAAAACTTATAATAACTCTATTGTTTTTAGACTTAAACGTTGATTAAAAGAGGTAAAAATTCCTAATTTTTTAGACTTAAACGTTGATTAACACCATAGATTGAGAGTTTATATTTAGTAAAATTTCTAGTTGTAATAAAAAAAATTAATTTTTGCTATATTTTAGAATATATTTAAATTCATTATAAAAAAAAAAAAGAAAAAAAAAACTACAATGAAAAAAGCAAGTCAGCTATATATCGATTTGTTGTACTACTCAAATCACATTCACAATTTGACGACAAGGAAAGGAAACTCATTGATTAAAGTATTATTTTGTCAGTAGTCTTAATGTACAAGAGACTTTAAGACTCCACTTGAATATTATAGAACTTTTATTGAACGTTGTACAATTTTTTTGCGTATTATAAATTTTTATTGAACATTGCATCTTATAATATAATATTCTCCAAATAAATATCTCGTGCCCGTACATTTTTTTTTATTCATGTATATAATTATAAGCCTGGATAAATAGCCTTAAAATTGTGCACCCCGTGCATCGCACGGGCTCTGTATGTTGTACCAAGTCTAGCCCTATAATGATAAGATCAAATCTCTGAGTTCAACTAAATTGCATGTTGTGTTTACAAGCAAAATTTCAAGAAACTAACAAACAAAATTTCAATCACAACTCGGCCATAGAATCTAAAATGATGTCTATGTCGGGTGTTATAACAGCACGCCTTTTGAGCTCCCCAAAGTTACAACACTGTTTCTCGTCCGTATTCACCGCAACAACATCTTGAGCAAACACACAATTCAAACCTGAAGATACCTGTGAGTGTAGTGCATCGATTTACAAGCAAAATTAGCTTTGTACCACATTAAAATATCATAAATTTTCATATCAAATAATTTTCTCTTATCAATCAAATCAAGTAGCTTACTGTTTTTTATCACAAAAATATCGCATATAGTTAGAAGAACTTTTCAACTTGTAGAAATTACAAGTACCCCTTCAGGTATATATTCGCATTTTGAAATGTACTTTGTAAAATAAAACAAATACAGATTGAGGTCTCTGAATCAAGAGAAAACTGGAAAATTTCCATTTGTTAACTTCAATTTAGATTCAATCAAGCCTCTAAAGTATACATTTTTGTAACTACACATTATTATTTTTTTTATTCATAGCTCTAGAGATACTAGTGAATGCATATTGCTAGAAGATGATAGATATATATACTCACATCATATAATGTCTCGCCAAGCTTCAATTTCACGGCACCACTCTTGTAAACCAGCATCTTGCCCATGTGGCCGGCTGGAAGTGATTCTAAGCTACACGGATTTCGAGAAGGGGCTTTTCCCTTAACGGGCTTTCCATTATTTTCGGGCCCTTTGACCTCATCATAAGCGGGTTTGTTCAGCATGGGCATTGATGATGGTAACTGAAAGAATAACATGCTATCCTCTGTATCCTCATCCTGCCAAAAAAAAAAATATATATATTAAAAATATCGTTAAAACGCCACAGAGTTTCAAGCAATTGGTGAGTGAGTGTGGTTAGATTATATTCGAAAAGATTATTGACCAATAAACCAAGCTCTTCTGCTGGCTTCGTCACGTTTTCATCATAAGCCGATGCCAGTGAATCTTCTCCGAATTCTTCTTCATCAAGTTGTTCTACACGCAAGAAATTTGAAAATAAAAAATGTCAAATCAACTCAATTATAATTTTCAACTTTGAATTATGAAGCACATGGCAAATGCAAAATATGACAATACGAAATTGCTTTAATGTTTTTTTTATTTTTTGTTCTCTCCAGCTAAAAGCTGAAAAACATTTTTGTTCGAGTATCTGCAAAGACCATTACATTTTAAGTAAAAGAATAAAAAAAAAAAAATCTGTTTGTCGATTGAACGTGGAGACATGCCTGGATTTCCCGCGTATGGCCTCCTCAATGGAAGAGTTACGGGATAATAGGTGTAATAATCCTGCAATCGTTGCAAATAAGGAACACCATTAAGTTTAGTACAAAGAGCTCAAGCACACAAAATCATATGTTAGATTTATCTGAAGTTCATACCCACGGTTCCTTATATTCTCTCTGCTGCTCGAAACCACCTTCACGCAGGAGAATATTTTTAAATTCAGCAAACAATTTCCACAACACAAATCAAATGAGACCACATTGTTACGAACTAAACAAAAAAACCCAAAAAAAAAAAAAACNAGAACACTCGCCTTCAGAAGACGAGCCCTGCTTATTGTTGATGGCCTTGGGCACACCGTATGACTTGAGGGTCGAAGAAGATGATCCTCCGAAGCCAAATGAGACTTGTGTGGGTCCCACTGAAATCATCAAATGAGAACAAATCAATAGCACGCCCAAAAATTCCACTCAAACCATGTGGAGATGCTTTTTTTACCTTTCCTCTCGACTTTCGGCTTCTGATCCCTCAGGGATGCTTCCTAATAATACGCCGCGTAAGAAGGAAATTTAAGCACGAACCACTCATTTAATATCGAACTTTCGGAATAATGTAAAACAGAATTCGAAATACAATGTGAAATGAAGTTGAGAACTTTACATTAAAGCGGCGTAGAAGTTGCTCTGCCTTGGCGGCATCAATATCATTTTCAGCTTTTTCACTTCAACATGGACAAAACGACATGAATAAAAACAGTAAAAACAAAGTTAAAAATCGAGTCATGCTAGGAGAGCTAAAGTAAGTGTGTGGATTGAAACTAAGATGTTTACACTTTGGTTGGGATGGGTTTCGGCTCTCTCTTGGGAGGACGTTTTGGGGCAAATTTCACCTATTGCAGAGCAATACAAATAAATTAAATTAACATATAATTAGATTGATTGATTGATTGATTTTAATAAAAACAATATGAATGATGCTAATAGAAATACCTTCCTGGGAGGATTCTTGGTGGTATTAGCTTGCAAATCAGGATCCATCAGGCTCACAAGTTTGAATTCACTACTCACTCAGTCTACTATGTACAAAATAAACAGCAGTAAATATGAGCTAAACAGATTTGTATTTATATATTAAAAAAAAAAAAGAAAAATATTTCATACAATGCAACAGCCATATTGAAATTTGCATCTAATAAGAACGATACAAAAACCCAGAAAAAGAAAAGCATGATAACCAATTGATATACATTTACAATCACATTACAAATATGGAATTGGTCAATTTACTAAGAGTACGCATAAATAACGCGGTAGCCATGGAACTAACCTTTTTCAGTTGATGGTCGATTATGTGGACGATTTTAGAAAGAAGTGCCAGTTCGCTTCGAGTGTCGGATTAGAGAGAGAGAGAGAAAAGGCTGAGGTTTAGGGTTTTAGGGAGTTAAAATGTGAGTGGTAAGATTTTCTGGGGGTCAGTTTTGGTCCAACAACGTGCGCCAAAGATGTTGATGCTTCTGTTTTTTTGTTTTTCTTTTCTTTTCTCGAGTGTCATTGTAAATTGTAATTTGTAATTCAGAAGAAGTGACAAGACAGATGCTATTGTAATCTACCCACTGAAAT